TTTAACGATGATATATCGAGAAAATTGCCAGCATGTAATCCTCGGATTTTACAACCATGGCGGAAAAAAATAAAGTGGAAAACTTATTTTCCAAGTGGTCATGTCTAGCTCCATTTGTTTCAGCCTTTGTGTTAGAAGTTTTGTCGGCCAAAAAGTAACTAATAAATAAATATATGAGAAAATAATCTCAGTGACCAAAAATCTTAGATAATATACGATTTTGACCAATTTTTTTGGATTTACGAAAATGACCAACAAAATCGCAATACGATCTCTAATTCGCATTGCGATCTCCACTATCGCAAATTCGCGTTGCATTTCGCGTTGCGATAGTTGAAAATCGCGTTGCGCTTTTCCATTTCGCGTTGCGATAGTTGAAAATCGCGTTGCGATTTTCCATTTCGTGTTGCGATAGTTGAAAATAGCGTTGCGATTTTCCAACGAATTTTCTTAACGAATTTGGAAAATCGCAACGACAGCTGTAGACTATCGCAACGAATTTGAAAAATCGCAACGACAACTGTAGACTATCGTAACGCGAAATGAAAAATCGCAACGCGATTTTCAACTATCGCAACGCGAAATGCAACGCGAATTTGCGATAGTGGACATCGCAATGCGAATTAGAGATCGCATTGCGATTTTGTTGGTCATTTTCGCAAATCCAAAAAAAGTTGATCAAAATCATATATTATATGAGATTTTTGGTCACTGAAGATATTTTCTCTAAATATATTTGTTAAAATCATGCACACGATTTTATTGATTGAGAGGAAACACCGTGGGCCTATAATATTAGAAAATAAGCAAAAAGATATACGAGCGAGATTTTTGTGTTATTTTAAAGTAGTTTTAAAAAAATATATCATTGTGACATTCTAACCAACGCTTTTCGTTATTAGTTATTACAGTATTTATGTGACACTAATATAGTGTTGACATGGTAGTTTGCTATTCTAATATGATAATCCACTGTAGTTGGTGACGATGAGGCAAATGGATTAGGTTGGATTTCTTAATTGAGTTTGAGGACTAAAGTGTCTTTTTAAAAATTTATATGCTTATTTATTTTTTAAAAAATATTTAAAATTTAAAATTTAATATATACAAATACATAAAATATTTTAAATTAAATATACAAAATATTTTAAAGTTCGAGAGATCTGCTCGTAAAGTTACGTTTTAACAATAGTATAAATTATTTTTAAAATGATAAAATAATTCCTACAAAACGAAAATATTATCAATAATGATAAAAATAAAAAAAAAAGTCAAAAAATAAGTATAATGTAACAAAATAATCCTAACGTTTGACAGTATTATCAAGTGTACCCTTATCATTTTTTTACGCATTCATCCATTCAACGTTTAATTTTGAGTCAAAAATCACTCTTGGTGGATAGAAATCGTCAGTCAACTGACGATCAATACCTAATGCTGATCAAGCAAGTACACATGAACGTGGATGTCGACGTGGCGTGGCCATGTTAGAGTTCATGATGATGTGACACTATCACATTAGAATTTTTAAAAATAAAATAAATAATTATTATGATTACTACTATTTACATTTAATTATTGATGATCAATTAGAAAGTAATATGTGTCACTTTTCTATTGGTGTTTGTTTAAAGGAAGCCTTAAAAAGAATAATTGTTTGGAAAGGAAATCAAACCTAGGCAAGTTTTATGGAATAACACAACTTTTGCCACTAGACCAAGCGTATTACTTGGTTAAATAATTACTTAAATGATATTTAATAGATACTTAATTTAAATTTAATGAAAAAAAAATTAAACATATGTTTATATTTTCCCCTGTACTCGATTATTCCCAAATTCCTCTCATAATCTGGTTTCCCTCTACATGATTATTCCCAAAATAATAACCCTAATATAACCAAAATCCCAAAAATTAAGCACATGAAAATGAATTCTGGAACATGTTATTTGCAGATGTTATGATAGGCTGATTCAAGTAAGTCAATTTCAAAGGGTTAAGGAAGCTATCAACCCTAGGTTTATCGAAATCGTCATCGTTCAAGAACTTGATGATCTCATTCAATAACTCCAACCGGCGTTCATTAAATCGTTCAAATGCTTCTGTTTTCTCATCCTCGATCTCCTCACTGATTCTCGGTTCGACACCATTCGTTTTCGTTTCCGTCGTCGGGTTGAGATCAGAGCACCGAGTACTCCGCCTCGACGTTCAACAGATGTAGGTGGTGAGTTTGTGATTTTGTTTCCTCAGCCGAGTCGCTTCAGTCATTAAATCGTGCAAATGCTTCTATTTTCTCATCCTCGATCTCCTCACTGAAGAAGCCATGGAATTTGTAATTTTTTTTTTGAAACGATAAATAAGAAAAACAAGAAAAATTATTTATTTATTATTCTTATATTAATAAAGAGAAAGAAATGGATGAATTGTTGAACTTATGAAACGTTGTACAACCAATTGAGGAAAACAACAGAGAAAGATTAAACGAGATGGTCCTGCGAATGGAAGTGAAATTGATTATAAACCCAGAAAGGAAGGTTTTGGGAAAGTATAAACACGTATTTTTCTCTTCATTAAATTCAAATTAAGTATCGATTAAATATCATTTAGTTAATTATTTAAATAAGTAATAAGATTGGTCTGATGGCAAAAGTTGTGTCATTTATAACACTTGCGTCAAAAATGTTGAGCGGATGAATGCGTCAAAAAAATGATAAAAGTACATTTGACAATAGTATCAAATGTTAGGGTTTTTTTTGGATAATCCATTTTTATTACTCAAGAAAGTAGAATACTGCTACAAGGAATAGTTTAATACGCTAGCAGCAGGCATAAGCAATAGAAAAATCAGCTAAGCCTAACACAGAATCATAACAAACTATAAACAGCTAAATGCACAGGATGCCCCAACTTGCACAAAAGGCAGCATTCCTCGATTCCACTCTGTCAATAGAACATCTGCTCAAACGGATCCTGACAGTGTCTTTAATATCCTCCAGGAGATCTTCCATCAACCTTGTTTTACCTCCAAACAGCATGTTGTTCCTTTCTAACCCGATGCTATATGCAAATCCAGCCAAAGCAAGCTTCAACACTCTCAGAGATTTGCCTTTAAAGCAGTGAATAGCCCAAGCCAGCTCTCCATTCCAGCAGCTCACAAGGCGATTTATACCACAAAGGGAGAGGATAGCACCCCACAAAGCCTTAGCTAACCCACACTCGAAGAAAAAATATGGTCCCGAGTTTCCGGTTCAATATTACAGAACAGGCAATTTTCACTCTCTATGGCTAGTCCCATTCGCGCGAGTCTGACGCGAGTGGGGAGCCTATCTAAGACAGCCATCTAAAGGACAATATTGTGCTTAGGAATACGCCCAGAGAACCACACTAATCGGTGCCACAAAACCTTTGTTGCCATGGTCCACATGCTTTCCCAGATCTGTCTCGTGCTAGGATCACTGCCTGGACCAGCAACTAGATGAGATATAGCAAGCCTCAATTTAAGTAAGCATTTGAAACTCCAACTGGCATTCAAAGGTACACTCATCTGCCAAAAATCAACATCTTTTATCACGTAGGAGTGGATCCAGGCCACCCATAAGGAACCATCCTCTGCTAATAAACTCCTGACCAGCCTCGCAAAGCATGCTTTATTCCATTCACATAAATCAAAAACACCCAAGCCTCCTTCCGATTTTAATAGACAAATCTGTTTCCAGCTGACTCGGGCTATCTTCGCAGACACATCAGCGCCTTTCCAAAAGAATCGAGAGCAAAGTTGCTCGATCCTTTTGATCACAGCAAGAGGCAACATGACCTGCCTGCACCAAAAACATGCAATGCTAAAAGGCACACTGCGCACCAGTTGTAACCTGCCAGCAAAAACTCAGATGCCTATTGACCCAAAGGTTCAGTTTGGCCCTTATCTTTTCAATGAGGCATTGACAGTCCTTCTCGGTCAGCTTCTTGGTCACCAAAGGGATTCCCAAATATCTCACAGGTAATTTCCCTATTTTGAATCCAGTGATTTCTCTAATGTCATCACACAGAGTGGTAGACATTCCAGCAACATACAAATTACACTTGCTGGCATTCAGTTTTAAGCCCGAAAGAGAGTAGAATAAGTCCAAAACAGATTGAACACCAAGGATGGAATCAATAGATCCCTTGCAGAAAATTAATAAATCATCAGCAAAGCAGAGATGAGTTAGACCAATTTTCCTGCATTTGGGGTGGAAACTGAAAAGTCCCTTTTGAGCAGCCACATTCAACAAGCTAGACAAAACGTTCATGACCAGGACAAAAAGGTAAGGGGATAGAGGATCTCCTTGTCTTACTCCCCTAGCACCCTTAAAATAACCAACTAAGCAACCATTGAGCATAATAGAGTAGGCAGGCTTAGTAAAGCAAGCACAAATCCACCCAACAAATTTATCAGGCAAGCCTAGAGCACACAACACTATAGCAATAAAATCCTAACTCACGAAATCAAAAGCCTTTTGTATATCAGTTTTCATGGCACACCTGGGGGAGATACTCTTTCTATTATAGCCTCGAACGAGCTCTTGAGCAAGTAACGTATTATCAATGATGCTTCTTCCTAGGACAAAACCAGTTTGATTTTTTGAAATCATGCTAGGAAAAATAACAGAAAGACGTCTAACTAAGATCCTAGTGATTGTCTTATAGACTACAGTGCAACATGAAATTGGCCTATAGTCTTTTATCATATTGGGGTTCGGGACTTTTGGCACAAGGACAATAACTGTACTGTTAAAAGCAGGCAAAATAAAAGAGTTATTGAAACAGTACCGAATGGCGGATTTGAAATCATCAGAGATAACAGGCCAAGCTGATTTGAAAAAGAAATGATTATATCCATCAGGAGATTTCTCATTCCCTTGGCCCCAAATTGCCTCCCTTATCTCTATGTCAGACACTTCCCTACATAATTCATCAGCAGTTCCCATAGGAAGAGTGTATTTCAGCAAATCTTTAATGGTTTAAACATTACTGCCCGTGATATTTCGGTCAGCAACCCCCAGTTGCCTCTGGAAAAAATCGATCACCTCATTTGAAAAATCTTCAAATGTGTCCAATCTTAGCTCATCCTGATTGTAAAGCACCCTAATTGTGTTTGATTTCCTTTTGCATGCCACCATAGAATGAAAAAAACGAGTCCTCTGGTCCCCCTCATTAATCCAATCTGCTTTAGCTTTCTGCTTATAAAAGAGCAGCTCAGCTTCTTCAAGGGCTTGCAGCTCCTTGCCAATTTCCAGTTCAGAGGCGATGTTACTACTAGAATGAGCAGAATTCAGGTTAGCCAGCTGGATATTCATCAAATCCTCTCTATTCAGCTTGACTCGATTAGATATGTCATTGAAATATTCTCGGTTTAACTCCTTGAGGCAGCCTTTAAGTCTTTTTAGTTTGTAAAAGAGAACTTGAGCAGGGTTACCCACAGCTGGAGCCTGCCAAGGTTTCTCCACAATAGAAAGGAACTAAGAATGCTTTGCCCAAAAATTAAAAAATTTAAACGGCTTAGGCATTGAAGTAGGAGCCTCCTTATGGAACCAAATCAGAGCTGGACAGTGATCCGAGGAATCCCCGGGAGTCTGGAATTCCACCTCAGATTCAGAAAAAGCTTCAAGCTAGCTCGAGTTAATAAGCACACGGTCCAGTTTGCGTGCCATGAAGTTGTCTTGTTGTTTATTCGACCACGTGAAAAACATACCAGTGTAAGGATGGTCAAACACTCCCAAATCATCCACACAATTATGAAATTCAGAAATATCTGCATTGGTTGCCGCACTTACAGTAGTCGAGCTTTCCTCGGTGTTTAGGATGACATTAAAGTCTCCTCCGATTAACCAAGGTAATTTCCCAACAGTACACCCCACAGAGCTCAATTGATTCCAAAGTTGCCTTCGAGGGCACCCTTCATTTAAACCATAAACTGCAGATATAACAAACTCCTTCCCCCTAAAAGAACTCTTCAAAGAAATGCTCTGATCAAACACAGAAAGAATAGTGCAGTTTAAACTTCTATGCCAAAGAGTCCAGATGCGACCATTTGTTGAGTGATTGTAGTTGCAACACGAATCCCAGTCACTGAAATTCTGATGCACAATATCCCCAGCATTGCTTTCCTTAACTCTGGTTTCAAGCATACACAAAATGCTGATTCGACAGCTACGAGCCCATTTCAACACTTTCTTTTGCTTTAAAGGGCTGTTGAAACCTCTAATGTTCCAAAAGCAAACTAACATGGAAGGGTGGATGAGGAAGAAGCACCATCTCTATCCTCTATTTTCTTTACCTTTTCAACATGCTCTTTCTTTTTTAGCTTCAGGTCTTGGATGATCTTAGTCACTCCAAGAGAAGCTACTCGTTGCTTCTTACCTGAGTCTTCAGCAACTAACAAACTCTCAGGGTCTATAGAGTTAAGGACTTCAAACTTCTTTTTTTGAACCTCCCATAGCACCTTTGCTACCACCCTTTGTTGGTCTACCTCTCCCTCTCTTAATGGGAGGATTAATTCCATTATCAGTGCTTTATATATTCACATGATTAATTTCCAGAACTGCACCTTTCCCAGAATCAGGCCTATCATTTGCATTGGAATTCTTCCCCACTATATCTGCCAAACTTAAAGCAGCCTGTTCAGAGTTTATATCAACATTGCTTTTACAATTAGTATCAACAATTTTCCCCTCCGGATTAACACTTTGATCAGTAGAGTTAGTAACAACTACCCCCTCCAACTTCTCAGTAGGGTTAGTGTCAACTTTAAGTCCTGGTGCAGCTGCAAATTGTTTCCTCTCTCTGTTAGGCTCCTTTACTCTCCAGACCTGTTCTACTTTCTTCCCCTGAGGACAGAATCTCACCGAGTGACCAAATTTACCACACACATCACAAGAATCTGGTTTCCAAGGTACAATAACCTTGATACTAGCAATAGATCCATCACATAACAAAACAGCAACAGAGTCTGGAGTTTTTGAATCCACAGAGATTTCAACACATACTCGAGCAAATTCAAGCCTTTCTCTTGATGCAGTTATTGAGTCCATATGCAAGGGCTTACCAATTGCACTCGTAATGTAGCTAAACCCCTTTCTCGAGAATAGCTCCAAGGGGATATTATACAATTGAATCCAAACCGGCATTCGAGACAAGTCAACATGCAATTCCCTCATGTTCGGTTCCCACTTCCTAAGGAATATATATAGGCCTATGTTGAACATGCCAGGGACCATTCTCTAAAACCCAGTCCCTGGCAGAAGCATTGCCAAAAGAAAACACAAAAAGATTTGACCCAGCCAGACTTACTTTCACCGGAGTAGATTTACCCCACATCAGCTCAATCACCTTCTGCAGAGTCCCAAAATTTGGTGGAGATCCGATAAATTGTCCAACTAGCGCAAATCGCCACTCCAGGATTGTAACATCCGCAATATCGGGTTAGTGACCAAATTGTAAAGTTTTAGAATTTGGTGACTAAAGTAGAAGAATGAAAGAATTCAATGATTATTTGAATATATATTGAAGGTTATTTGGTAATTATTAAAGGAAATTAAGGGTATTATGGTTATTTGACCAGAAAGATTTTTTATAATTTTTTTAAGGGTAATAAGCACGTATGAAGAAGAGTCCAGAGCATTCTTCAGTCTTCTTCTTCCTCCTCTCCACCGTGAAGCTTGGTATAAGGTAAGTGAGTCTTTAGTTGGTTAATTCTTTCGTTTTAAAGCTTGTTTTGATTCTTGGGATATTAAGAAAGATTAAGGAAAGCTTTAGGGGGCTTAAACCTCAAAGATTAACAAGTTATGAGAAATTAAGAAAAATGAGTTTTTAAGTGAATTTTTGATATGGAAGGAGTTAATAGATTGTGAAGTTGAATTTGACTTGTCAAGGATTAAATTAAGAGGTAGGAAGTGTTAGAATTGGAATTAGAACACATTGGAAATTTGGTATGATTTTTTGAATCTTATATGGAAGATAGAATTTTGAGGTTTAAGATGAAATAAATGAATATAGATTGGTTTAAGTATGTGTACTAGAGTTAAGGATGAAAAGGGGATGATATATGAAGTATTTGAGAGGAAATGAAGTAATTTTCGGGTTGAAAATATGATTTCTGGGCAAGGGGAATCGGTACCCATTCAAGGGGAACCGATACCCCTTCAAACGAACAAGAATTTCCAGTATGTCATAGGGGAACCGATACCCCCATGGGGGGGAACCGATTCCCCCTAAAGGAAAAATTGGGGATATGGATTTAATAAGTTTGTTTAAATTGATAGTATCCAATTACAAGGTGTAGGTATCTAATGATGGTCTCGAAATGTACATTTATGTAGATTCTACGCATAAAGCAATTCCGGAACGTTTAGCAAGTAAGATCGATCAAGGGAAAGATAAGAGATTGGATTTGGCTAGTGAGGCCAGGTGAGTGCATATTAGTTAGTTTATGGTGCTAAATGGAAACAAGACTTGCGACAAGTCTATTTCCTATGTTAGAATGCATGAATATATGATTATACGTATATGAATGACATGAATTGTATGTATGCATGAATATATGTGTTGACATGCTTTGAATGTAATGTTATGAGAAGTATGTGCTATATAATGTATATATATATATACATATGTGAAACTGAACTATGTGACTGCATGAGAAAGATATGAGCCATATGACATGATATAGGTGACATGAGAAAGCAAAGTATGAGATATAAACTATGTGATCATAGTAAATATAATTATATTATTATATGATAAGTGAAATAAGCTGGATAATATTGATCTATAGGATGAAGTGAAATAGTACACCAACTAGGGGATTTGAACATAAATGATAAGATGAACGTATAAGATAAGCTAGATGGGAAAGAGTCATAGGTTTAAATAAAACTATAACACATGGGTTGAATGATAGAATTAGTGAAGTTATATGAGAAGATTATAAGAGCTATAAGAAATTGAATTAAGTAACAGATTAGATTATATATAGAAATAATAGAAGTGAGATATGTTTATAAGTCTGCCCTAGATGAATACGAAATATAAGAGTGCTATATGATTTATATTAGGATATCTTGAGGATATATATATATAGATAGATATGAATGAAATGAAATGAGTTATATGAATACCCAATTATGTGATGAAATGGTGAATTACCTGAACATGTGAATATATGTTTAAGAGAAGGCATACGATTAAGATATAAGAATGTGACTATAAGTATATGTGCTTTAAGTGATATGACTTATAAGTATTTCTATTATAATGTTACATGATATGTTATGTATGTTAAAGGAATTATGTGATGGTATAAGAATTGATAGGAAATATATATGTGAAAACAAGTATATGATACGAGACAAAACTTATGACTATAAGCTACGTGAAAGTGTTCTAGGTGTTTCGATATTATATGAAGTATATGATCTTATGTGAAAAGATATGATAAGTATGTCTATATGAATAAAGGTGATTGGGTGAGAAATGATAGAAATTATATGAAAACATGACATAGTGACATGTGAATTATATGGAAATGATCTACGGGTAAGTGAACTACGTGACTATGTGATCATATGAAAAGAAGCTATGTGATACATGATATGTGAAAGTGAATTACAAGTTTATGTTATATTTGAAATGAAATAAATGATACCGCCCATGTGTGTCATGAGAGCTAGGGGTATAGTTGGCATGCCAAGAGTCGAGGGTTATTCGGTTCTTTAGGACATATGTATATCCTTTGGAACCGTGTGAAGTCTTGAAAGACACATACTGATCCATAGTATATGTATGATCTTAAGGAATTCTACGTGGTCCTTATGGACATCATTCTACGGCACTACGGTGCAATTCTACGGGCACTTCGGTGCAATTCTACGGGGCACTTCGGTGCATTTATACGAGCTGTGGTGACAGCATAGTGCACAACCTCTATAGACTCACATATCGATAGTTCTCACATATGTACATGGGCTAATCCAGAGATATGAACAATATAAGTAGTGGTATGATAAATGCTATAGAAATTATATGATGTTGTGTGTATAGTGTTTGATTGATAAGTATGTGATTATATGATAACATGTGAATGATGAATATGTATGTATGAATTTACTGCGATTAATCTGATATGATTCTATACGATATGAAAAATGCTTGGAATTGCTATAACATGATAGAACAGAACATGCATGTATCAATATATGTTTTAAAGTGCATTATAAGTGGTTATGCCTCACTAAGTCTTCGACTTAGCGTGTGATTGTTTCACACGTAGGTTTCGAGAAGAGTAAGGAGTGATGCGGAGCAAGACAGGTCAGTTTCCTTACCAAAAGATCAGATCAGAAATATTTGATAAAGTATGTTTTTGGTTATGTATAAAGTGTTGGCATGTAATAAGTCATTAAGTACGAGCACTCTGATAAAGTCTGTATTTGTTTTAAATAAAGTTTTAAATTTCCGGGATTTTTCTTAAGAGTCAAGGGTTGAAAAGTCAATGTGACACTTCGGACTCGTATCCGGGTCGGACGGGTTGGGGGTGTTACATTTAATGGTATCAGAGCTATGGTTAGCCGATTCTCGGCATAAACCGAAGTCCAAAAGGTCATAAAAGGTGTACATGCCAACATAGATTGAAAAAAATTTCTGATCTGATAGTGTAAGGAATACGTTGTCTTGCTAATAAAATAAGAATAGTTTAACACAGTAGAAATCCGATCGTGATAATTTCGAAGTAAGTGAAAGGTGATATTCCTGATGGTGATAGCTATTCACTTGCCCTGGCCAGGCAGGATGAAGAGCGGACACCTCAGGAAATGCCTAGTAAGATCAAAGTTGATTTCCGAAAGCTGAAATCATATCTGAATAATGATAGAAAATTTTCATCGTTTGGAATCGGAAAAACGATGTAGAGTAGTTTTGCTATTATGTGAAGAAGATAGAATATGGTGAACGGGTGTCACCATAAGAATGTTAAAAGATCTAATGACGTGATGATTACGTATAGAAGAACTCAAGGATAAGTGCATCAGTGACAAGCGTATAAGATGTATATGTCAGAGCTTATGAGTTTGGAACGAAGTGATAATATGCGCATAAACAAGAGTATGTTATGATAAGGGTTTTGCAGTTAAGATGGAAAGAGTTAGCATTGGCTACCTAGAGTATGTGATAAAAATGTACTGGAATTATAAGATTATAAGATATTTTCAGGATATAATAACCAGATCTGCAATGGATCTGGATACAGTGCATATTTGGATCATAGTAATGTGGTATAGTAAAGGAAAAGGAAGTAAGAATTGGTATTTAAATAAAGCTGAGGATTGATAAGAAGAGTTTGAGAATGTATATCGATGATCAGATTATAAGACACAGGAAGTCAGAATGTTGAGTTTGAGAAAAAGAAATTTCAGGATGTATGAGAATAGGGGTGAAATGGATAAGTTGAGTAAGCGAATTTAAGATAATTTCGATTTGAAAGGATGTATGTGTTTAGTTGATTAGGGTTTG